AGTTCTTTTTCTGTGTCCAGGGCGCCAGTATAGGGCTTCATGAGCCAGGGCATTAGCGGGTAGGCTGGGTCCCTGAGGATGACTGTAGGCATCTCCACATCCCCAACAGTTATCTTGTGGTCCGGGAAGAAAATACTTTCCTGCAGCCGTCTAAACAGACCAGAGTTCCTGAACACGCGAGCGTCATGAACCTTGCCCGGCCATCCGACGTTGATGTTTGTAAAACGTCCCCGATGGTCCACCAGTGCTTGCAGCACCATTGAAAAGTAGCCCTTTCTGTTGATGTACTGGCTGGCCTGGTGGTCCGGTCCCAGGATAGGGATGTGAGTCCCATCGATAGCCCCACCGCAGTTTGGGAATCCCATCGCGGCAAAGCCATCTATGATGACCTGCGCGTTTCCCAGGGTCACTACCTTTGAGAGCAGTACCTTAACGATTGCGTTGGCTACTTGCATCACAACAACCCCCACGGTAGATTTGCCCACACCAAAGTGGTTCGCGACTGACCGGTAGCTGTCCGGCGTTGCAAGCTTCCAGAGGGCTATGGCCACGCGCTTCTGGACAGTCAGGGCTGCTCGCATCCGGGTGTCCTTGCGCTTCAGGGCAGGGGACAGCAACTCACAAAGTTCGAGGAAAGTCCCCTTCCGCATGCGAAAGTTTCGCAGCCACTGGGATTCATCCCAGACCTGAAGCACTATGCGGTCCCACCAGTCCGTGCTTGTTTCCCGGGCCCAGAATCGCCGTTCCACAATATCCACATGACCCATTGCCACCGTTATGTCCTGGGCGCTGGGGCTCGTGGTTTCTGACAGCTCTGTGCTACTCTCCGACTTCAGGCCATCACGGCGGTGTCGTAGCCTCCTCGCCTGATTTCTCTGCATCTGCCTCAGGGAAAGGTGTATGATAAGCTGCGAGGTGTTGAGAACGGCCACAACTGCAGCGATGGTCGCAGCGTGATCCATGATCGCAGTGCTGTGGCGTCCGCGCTGTCACTGACCAGAAAAGTGCGCGAACTGATTTCCCGCCGGCGCTTTCATGGAGGGAGGGAGGGCGTTAGTGACGGACGGATGACGACAAATTTTTTTTACCCAGAAGGCATTGGCGGCTCGACCCAGAATTCCGATGGGCAGCGGGGACTGCGGGAACTGTGGGATAGCTGCCCACAGTGCACCGCTTCCAATATCGACGCTCGCCCCGTTAGTGTGGACTCACAAAGTCGAATTACTCTCCTTAGTGTGGACACACACGTTCGACTTTGCAATATCGATTCCACATATTCGATTTAAGTAAAATCGAACTACCCTCGTAGTGTAGACATACCCTTAGTCTTTAAGGTGCCACCGGACTCCTTGTTGTTTTTGTGGATACAGACTAACACGGCTACCCCCTGATACTATTCTATTCAGGTTCTTATACAGTGCCCATCACTGTAGTAATGCAGCAGGGCCATTTTGGTTCAGCTTATGCTCAAAACCTGAGCTGAATATCTGGGTTTGAAAATGACAAGACAATAAAGCTCTACTCTCAGTTCCCAAATATTTCCTCTAAAAGTTCTGTATTAGATTTACCAGCAAGTCTTAAAAATAAACCCCCCACCTAATAAGAAAGCAGAATCTTGTATTACTTCCTTCAACAAGGAACTAAAAGGAATATTCCCACCAGCACTGATCATTTCTGTCTAGAAGGAAAGACCAATAATGCCCTGCACTGAAATAGAAAAAGGAGTCCTGTCTTTTGAAAGTAAATATAATAATAAGAAATATGCACGGTTAGCGGTGGAATCTAACAAATCAGGTCAGCCCAGGAGAGCAGAGGTTTTCTATTTTGTTTCTTTCACAACTGTTATTATTTTGGGCTATGTCAAAACAGAAGCAGTGCATGTGTGGTCTGACACCGAAGTATCTCACACTCCGTAGAGACATTCCTGAGAATACATACAGGAGCCACGAAACAGGCAGGGCTCCCTTCCAAACAGCAATCTATAGCCCATTGCAACCAGAGGTATTTATCACCATTACAGCTAAGCCCCACTGGTAAAAGGCTGATCAATATTAATCTGAAGAATAACAGATCAGCTAGAGGGGCTGCAGCAGCAGGAGCTTTTTCTTATTAAGGGGCCAGGGATCCTGCCAGCCGCACTGGGATTTCCTGTGAACGAGGAGGATAGGGAAGGAGAGTAAATCAATGTCCGGCTGCTGCGAGTTTGGTCGTCCCAGGCAAACTCCAGATCCCAGTGAGTTTCCCCCACGCGGGCAGGTTGTTCGGTGGCGCCTCGCCCTTAAAGACACAGCTTGTTCCAAAACCCACCAGCAGCCCCAGCGAGTCCCAGCCACCGGATCCAGCCCCGGCACGGCGGCCAGCCGGCTGCCGGTCACGAGTCGGCGGCCGGGGGAGCCCAGAGCCCAGGGCCCGGGCACAGCGGGGTGTGCCCGGGAGCGGGAGGGCAAAGGGAAAAGGCGAGCGGTCTCTTTAAATGCTGGGGGCTGAGCTCTCGCCGGGGAGTCCACAGCCGGATCTAGAATTCCTCCCCCCCCATCGCTGCGGCTCCAGCGCTTGTTGCTCAGCCCGGCTGGAGGGAAGCGCAGCCTGTGCGCTGGGGGCGGAGGCCAGGTGAGAGTGGGAAGGGGGGGGAAGGAGACATGAGCCGGCGCCACGCCTCGCCCAGCGCTAGGAGCGAGGCGGCTGCCGTCCCAGCCAGCTGGCCCTAGCCCCGCGCCCGGGGAGCAGCCGAGCCCTTCTCCGCACGGTAAGTTTCCGGGCGCCCAGGTGGAAGAGGAGGAGGAGCCGGCGGGAGAGGGGGGGGATCAGGTGCGGGCAGGCGCACCTGGCCGGGCTGCGGCTGGCGGAGGAGGGTGAGTGGTGGCAGCCCCTCCCGCAACGCGGGGTCTGAGCCGGGTTGGGGCTGCAAAGCCGAGCATTGCCCCCGCTTCCCCCCGGGTCCTGGCGGAGCAGCTCCCGGCTGCCTCCAACAGGTGGGATTGCACCTCCCCGCCCCGGCCCGGCCAACAGGTGGAAATGCGAGTCGCACCCTCCCTTGCTAGTGCCGCTCCCGCTAACAGGTGGCCCTGCTCCCCCTCCCGTGCGTGCCCCTGCTAGCCCCGCTCCCTGCCGCAGCAGCCTGGGGCTGTCCGGCTCGCGCCTCCTTTGCCACTAACCCGGCCCCGGGGGGTGCCGCCGCGCTGTCCCCTGCCTTTGTCTCTGCGAGGGACCGCCCGGATCCGATCGGCCGGTGGCCCTGATCCCCTTCGCCTCGTGCCCCCTCTACGCTTAGCAAGCGGAACTGCAGCGTGTTCCCGGGGGCCGCCGGGCTCGGCCGCCTTTGCAACCCGCCCCCCCAGTGCACGAAGCAAAGGGATCTGCGCTTACACCCAGCCTCCTCGCTCCCGAGGGAGCAGAGTGTGTGTCCCCCTTTTGCTCTCAGAGCGATGGCCAGGGAGACGCAGGCGTCACCAAAGCGGGGGAAAGACCTTACTGGTTCTGCCACTGCACTGAGAAGATCCCCGCCAGGGCAGTCAAGTTTGGGGGAGGTGGTACAGCCCTGTCTCCTTCATCCTTGCCCGCTCGCCTACTGCTGTGCCTGTTGCTGATGGCTGCATATTGCTTATGGTTGCAGTGGGCATGGGGAACCAGGTGGAGAAACTGACCCACTTAAACTACAAGGAAGTTCCCACGGCCGACCCGACCGGCATGGACAGAGACGAGGGTCCCAGGATCGGGGTGTCCTACATCTTTTCCAATGACGACGACGAGCTGGAGCAGCAGCAGCAGGACTCAGTGGCTCAGGATATGGGAGGCGAGCACCCCGCCCCGCAGCCCTATGACCCTCGGTTGCAGGAGGTGGAGTGTTCGGTTTATTATCGGGATGAGTGTATCTACCAGAAGACCTTCGCTGGGGATGATACCGCACCAGATGAGAGGGATGGAGGAGGTGGGGGGCAACTGAGCACTTACACCCCAGAGAACCTGCTGAACAGATGTAAACCAGGCGACCTGGTGGAGTTTGTGTGCCAGGCCCAGTACCCACACTGGGCAGTGTATGTTGGGGATTTTCAGGTAGTGCACCTGCATCGGCTGGAGGTGGTGAACAGCTTCCTAACCGATGCCAGCCAGGGCAGGAGAGGTCGCATTGCCAACTATTTGTACCGTTACAAGCCCCTGAGCCCGGCCACTGTGGTGCGGAATGCCCTGGAGCAGGTGGGCTGTAAGGATCGGGAGCTGAGCTGGAGGAACTCTGAGTGCTTTGCTGCCTGGTGCCGCTATGGCAAACGGGAGTTTAAAATTGGCGGGGAGCTCCGCATAGGCAAGCAGCCCTACCGGTTGCAGATCCGGCTGGGGGACAAACGCAGCCACACGCTGGAATTCCAGAGCCTGGAGGATCTGATCATGGAGAAGAGGAGGAATGACCAGATCGGTAGGGCTGCTGTGATCCAGGAGCTCTCCAGCCATCTGCAAGCTGCAGAGGAGGAAGAGGAGGAGGATGATCCAGGTGCCCAGACTGCTGCTGACTAGCAGCATCAGCACCATCATGCTGCTTAGGCTGGGTGATGGGGATTAAAACTGAAGGCTGCGAAATTGAGCTGTTATAAGCCCTTTGGGCTGCTTCAGTGCAGCTTCATTCCAATCACATGTGAAAGGAAGGGGGAAAGCTGATTAAGTGTCTGCGCTTTAGTACTTAACTCCTTCAGTGCTTGGTAAATCTCTGACTTATTTGTAGAGGATAAAACTCGGGGAGATTCCACCACCCCCGTGTATTACCTTCATCCCCAAACCATCAGTCTCTTGGCTGCTGGCAGGTATGGATCTTACATGGTGCTGAGTGCTTTCAGTTTCTATTGAGTTCAGTAGGAGATGAGGGCATTCAGCACCATTTAGAAGGAGCCAGCACCTTGTAGGATAGGGCCCTGTAGCTCTCAAGTGCATGATTGACCGGCCTAACTGGGAAATTCATTTTCCCCCACCCCCTTCCCTTGTCTCCTCTCCATGTAGTTATCTTGTGGTTCCTGTTAGTATTACAGCAAGCTATTTACCTTAGTCTGCTGGTGCCAGACCTTTGTGGCTTCACACCCAACCCCCAGTCCTCAAAGGATTTAAGAGATAAATCATGGTTAACTTTGTGAAATAGGGTTTGACATGCACGGTGTCATCTTAATTAAAGTCACTTGCAGACTGGCGAGGGGAATCCCTGCCTGCCTGTTTGTGTGTGGCTTCCTTCTATGTACAGTGGGCTAAGTTGTCCTGATGGGGGTGGGAAATGACCCGAAGTGGAGGTTTGCTGTGATCAGGATTGCTGTCTATGCATTATAATGCACTGAAACCTTTTGGGGGCTCTCTCTATCACCGGCTTAACTGCATCAGCATTCATTAGGGGGCTTGATCCTGCTCCCACTGAAGTCAATTGCAAAGTCCCCATTGACTTCTGTGGTGCAGGATTGGGCCCTATAAGCAGCTTTTTCATGTGTTTTTAGTGTGTTTGGGTGAGCTAGGGATAAATTAACCCTGGCAGGGGTGGTCTAGCATTTTGGCCAAGCCCCACCAGAGGTGGGAGTCTTTAGCCAGTATCAGCACTGCATCAGTCTTGTTTTAAGGCTATAGTACAAATAGCACTTTGATTTGGTTGCTTAAACACTTAATCACAGGGAATAAAGCATGTCTTGAATCCTACTGCCTGGAATATGTAGGCTAGTGATTAACTGGTAAAATTCCTAGTGGTAGGGGTCAGGAGAAGTTGCACAATGTCTGTGCCATGGTAAACAGTGCTGTAACAGGAAGTGATTGTGTGTGGTGGGTAGGGGGAGAGAAGACCAGTATAGAGAGGAAGGAAATACATTCCCTGACTGGGAAGTTATTGAAAACTCAAAGCTGGGGAAATTCTCGGTGTTCTCCCACTACAAATAATTCCTTAGTGAAGAGTAACTTCAAGGTTGTGCGTTGTTTTTGTTGTGTTTTCCTGGTACATTGCTGAGCGATGTTACTAGAGAAGGAAAGAGGGAGTAGTCATTCTCCTTGTGTGATCCATCTCATGGAGGTTACTCAAGTACTGTACTCCCATCAATGAATGCATTTGCAGGAGGGCAAGGTGCTACATGTATCTAATATTACCTACCAAAGTAGCAACTCTTTTTGAACTGGATCACTTTTTCCCTAGTCTCCAATGCCAGGTAATACCAGATCATCATGGATTCTTAATCTGTTCAGTGTATATTTTCCTCTGGACTGTTAATATAAACTTCCTTGCCCTTTAAAACACAATAGCTACGAAGCTAACCTGAGGATGAGCAAGAGTTCATTTAAATAGTGGAAATCAATATTTTAGAGTAAACACGCAGTGTAATTAAGCAGTGTATTAAAATGACTCTGTTTTCCCTGCAGTTGTTTACTTCACTGCTTGCAGCATAATTCTACTTTACAATCTCTGTTTTTTTTAAGATTAGGGCAAGAAACCAGTCAATCATAAATAAGCAGATACCTAACTTTGGAGTAATTAAGATTATATGAAGCAACTTTCATGTGTATGAAAGGAACTTAGTCTCCAAATAGACTTCCATTGTTGTGACTCTTAAGTGGACAATGCAGAGAAGGGTTTCTTTTGTTTTTGCCCCCTCCACCCCCTTAGAAAAAATTTGTTCGTTATTGGGGGGAGGATCAACTTATGGGGTTACACACTTAAAACGCATTGTACCTTTTCCCTTAATACTTTCTATGCTTGAATTTTAGGATGTGGAATTCTTGGCTCCTACGGAGAATTTGTTAAAACATAAAGCTCCTTTAGAATGTTGTAGCTCAGGCTTTTGTACTGATGAAATCTTTCCTCAATATGCAGTTGGGTCATACTCCAGTTACTGTGATCGTTAAACAAACACGCAATGTTGCTCAAGAAGCATGAGAACTATCCATAGCTGAACTGTGATAAGGTTAACATGTGGCTATTTCTCTGTTCAGCCACCATTAACTGTTTAAGATTGTAACTGATGTATTCCTAAACAGAATGAAGGAGAGCTTCTCTGTATATCTGGTATTCTGAATAGGATAAGACAGACTTAAGATCACCTAGACCATGAATAAATGTTTAGCTATTGTTCCTAGTCCTGAAATTTTGTACAGAACAAAGTTTATTCACTATGTAATATATGTATGTAAAATAATATTTTCTTACAAATATTTTTGAAAGTTAAAAATAATTCCATCATGAGACTCTTACATTTTGAAAGTAAGTTGTTATGCACATTATTCTGATGTCCTCTGAATGGATTTATTTTTGTCATTAGTGATCTAAAGAAGTTTCTAGGTCCTACGGGATGGAAAGTGCTGTAGATGTCAAACATTTTGTATCGAAAAGGTACTGAACTGTGTGTGTGTTTGTGAAAATGTTTTCCCCTTATGTTGGACACATCAGAACGAATGCTCAAACCTCTCTTCCTTCTTCTCAGACATTTAGTCTGTTTTATTTATAAAAACAAGACAAAAGCTGAGAACTGAGAGCAAAGCCTGTTAAGATTTACCTGAAACTATTTTGTTGTCTCATGTAGTTATTAATGCACACCTCTACCTAGCACACAGTTTGGTACAAATCCACACACAGGCAGAGATATTGTGAATCAAGCTTGAGATGTAGTGGTAGAGCTGAGTGGGGAAGCTTACCTAGTAGTCAAATATACTAGAGTATTCCTTAACTGCTACTTTTCACCTTCTTTCTTGAGTTCAGTGATGCTTATGCTGTGAAATATAGAACATCCCATGTATTCTCTTTGCACCTAGAATAAATATTTGCTTGGCATTAAAACATGCAGCTAGAGAATGGGTGTAACTGGAATACATAAATGTGACCTGCAAAGGATTTTTAAGAGGGGATTTATACTCTCTCTCCTGCTGCTTCATAATATGTGAAGAACGACTGAAAGTTTTTTGTGTTAAAGCTTTTGCTGCTTCTGCTTTCCCTTACTAAGATCAGCAAGGTCAAGTCTGCTTTTCCTGGGTAGTATTAGAGGATTGCTTTGGAAAGGGCTGGGTCACATGTGTTTTAAGATCAGTCACACCTTTGAAGGGATGTCTGTTGAATCTTTAGCTTAGATATCTTTTCTCCCAACTGTTGAATAGGCAATGTTATTAAATAGATGCTAACTAGCGCAAGCAAACCAGGTTTAAGCAGGCCAGGAGTTCACAGCAGGAGAAGTAATGTAGTTACTCAGCTTTCAGTCTCCTGTGACCTTTTTTTTCCATTTGCCACAGAGTCTTCCAGGGTAAACTAGACGGGACTTTCTAGTGTTTATATTTAAAACCAAAAACAGGAAAACACTGTTGTTCAAGCCTTTCAGGCCTTTGTTATACAGCAAAGAGAAGGGAACAAAGTGAATCCCACTTCTATTTTTCTTTTGCAGGTTACATTTAAAATCTAGAAAATGCAGGCCTGATCCTTCTACTGAGCTGCATTAAGGTCCTCATGTAGCAAGGGCCTTAAGCATGTACCTAACGTTGAGCTCATGAGTAGGCTCCCTTGAAATCAATCAATGCTTAAATTCCTTGCTGAATCTCAGGGCCTGCTGTCTACACTTTGACCCACAGTGGGAGGGGAGACCTGAGGCGGCTGATCTGTTTAGGGATGGGAGGGGGAAGCAAGGGAAAAAGTCCTATTGAGGGGCGTTTTAAAGGGGGAATTTTGCCCAAAGAAGGTGCTGGGGAATCAGGATCATACTGCACAGAATGGACAGTTCTGCCCTCAGTTGCACCCTGAAATCAGTGGATGGCACAGGTTCAGCAGAGGGCAGCAGCCTGCCCAGCAACTTACAGTTGTAAATTAGAATGTTAACATTGCAGAATATCTTCCAAACTCTTCTGTCTGGTTATGTTAGAACCTTCTCTGTGCATTTTGAATACTGAAGTTAACAGACTTTTATTTTTTATTTTTTTAAAGCCTTTTGATCCTGCAAACCCTTAATCATGTATGTGAATTTACTCACATGAGTAGTTCCATTGCCACTGAGGGAACTACTCTTGAGAGGATCATTATGCGTATACTTAGTCTACTCTAAGTCTTGGCCGGACTAGGCCCCACGAGTGTAAATGTGACCCCAGTTAGGAAATGCAGATGAGCTGTCTATTTCTCCAGGCTGTCAGTGTCTTATGCAAATAACCCTTTTTTTCCCCCCTTGGGAAAGGCTTAACAAAACCCCCAACTATTGCTTGATTAAGTTACCTTCCATTAGGGGGGGAAATAAACACACTTAGAACTATTTCAGGTTACCCATTCCTGATTCTCTTTGAGGGCAATGTATTGATTACAGCAACTCTTCAGAAGTTCAGTCAGGCAGAGTGATGGTCTACTTGGTTTAAAAAAAAAATTAGCAATTTCAGAAACTATATTTTCTTACCTGAAAAAAATATTTTCTTCAGAGTGAAAGAATCCAGACAGCGGATCTGAACTCCCAGCTATACACAACAGTTTTGTATAAATGTAACACAACGTGTCTCTCTTTTTTTTTATAGTATTCAGATTTAATTTCAATGTTTTGTTTCAGTACTAAAATAGGTAACAGATTGGAATATCTTTCTCCCAGTAAGATGAAACTTTAAATGTGAAAGTTTTTTAGTCTTTATGGAAAAACTTGTCCCTGGTGCATGTGAGTTTTGTTTGTCAGGTGCTTTGCCACCTGTGCTTTTTGACAATTAGCTGCACCAACCATAATTATTACAGCCATGTGGGAATAAATATTTTTTGAAAGCAGAATTTTAATTTTATATGAAAGATCAGCTATGAAAAATTAAGTAATTGTAGGGAATTGCATAATTTCTAAATGCAGTTTCTTATTCTTAAAGGAATTTACTGTATCACTTACGTACTTTTGTTGAATCAACCAGTCTTATGAACTGAAATGCAGTGAAAAATCTGATGAGGTCACAACACTGCTGAATAGTTTTATGCTATTAAAACCACAGACTTACTTGTAAATTTAAAAAAAAAAATCAGGGTAACTTCAAACATCAGTGGTCCAGACCATTCTTTTCCATTAATGTTGAATTAGAAGTTCTCTCTACACATACCTGAAGTTTTTATTTAACATTGCAACACTCCATGAAATCATTACAATAACAAGTGTAATCGCAAAGTGATTTTTTCCCCCCTCCATGAGCAGTCTCTTGTCAGTAAATGTTGAATTGTTAGTGCTAATATCACTTCTTTTCCTGAGAAAGAAGTACAGACTCCTGATTGTACCATTTCCTTCAAAATGAAGGGCATTGCATAGTAACTGAAATGAAATAAAAAATTTATAATATCTTTCAAAATCTCTTCCTTATTTGAACTATATTTGTTTCCTCTTGCTTGTTTGGGAAATTGTTGTGATCTCTCTCTCAAAGTGGATGTAGCTGGTACAAAACTTGAGAATCCAGATGCCTTTAGATTTCAGATAGAAATCAAACCACCCTTGGTCACACTCTAGGTCTGAGGGAGAGAAGAGCATTCTCTACATAGGGCCGAATCCCTCAGTTGGTCTAATTGCCTGTGACTCCATTGAATCTGAGGATCTGGCCCATAATTTAATTCTAAAGGTGGCAATGACATCAGCAGAAGATCATATATTATTTCTTGACACTCATGCGTGTCCTGGCTGCCAATAGCTGTGAGAGTGAGAAATGGGAGCATATGGGCACTTCCTGAGCGTTTACATGAAATCTTCACAATTGTCACGCTAATTGAACATGTCATGTTATGGATTTTGAAACTTTGGAGATCTTATGGG